GCTTTAGACCACTGAGCCATCTCTCCAGCCCCGAAAATTTTAATAGTAACTCACAGAATTGTAATATTTGAATAGGTGAATGTATTGTATGTGAACACATTTGTAAAACTTTAAAAAAAACAACTTGAAGCAAAACCATTTATGACGTTACGGTCGGGCTGCATCTCAGCTACTTAGCGACCTTGGAAGGCCACTTCGGAAGGACAGCTTGGCCAAGGTCCCCCAAACCAGGGTATCTCATCAGCCCTGCTCGGTGCACAGAAACCCAGAGGACCTCCTGTAACTCTTGAGTTAGAGCAAAAGGGCAGCTCCAGGGGGAGTCCTACTCGGGAGACATTTCATTACTAGCATGGTGAGTGAGCATCCTGCTGGTGGTATTAGTGCTTCCTATAAAAGCCACGCTTTGTTTTCTGGTCAAATCACCCATTTAGAAAAGCTCTGGCAGAGTGAGAATTGATGCAGCCTTGCCACTTGGTCCCTTTCAAGAAGCAGAAAGAAGGACCCTAAGAAAACTACCAGCTGCAGGCTCCATGCTAGCATACACTGGGCAGCAGGAGATTGTAGGGGTTACAGATAAAGTCGGGCTGTGCACAGGAGGCCTAAGAAAATAAGGCTTTGTGAGTGGGGTGGTGAGGGGGATTCCTGGGAACATTTGGCCTGCCTGCTCCCAGCAGCAGTGGAAAGAACAACCTCACTGTGGAGGGGAGACCGCAGCCAGGCATCTGTGCACTTTAGGTCCTTCCCTGCTTGCTGTTGTCACTCCCCAGAGGGGACAAAGACTGAGAAAGGAGGCAGCAGCCATGCAAGCATTTATTTACATTACCAAAATCACTTGCAAACAGCAACCCCCACCTCACCCAGGCAGGCTCCCCTGCCAACCCATTCATTCTTATCCCCTTTCCATGCCCCTGAGCAGATGCCTCTGGCTCTTGAGGTGTAGCTTGCAGCCAAGGTGGAATCTGGCCAAGGCCCACCTGAGGGATGGGCACCCAGCATCTGCCCACCAATCCTATGGTTTCAGTGCCTCTTCCTCCTCCCTTTGGAGCCTAATTTGTTACCCCTCCCCTTCTTAGGCCTTGAGGGTGCAACCTGACCCTGAGCCAAATCTTGCCCTCCAGAAACCTCACAGGAGGGCCTGGAGCAGGATGCCTTTTGCACAGGAGCTGAGCCTCCTGTGAAGACTCCCTTTCTCTTCTTGGACCTGCCAGGTGGAGGGAGGTCAGGGCTAAGGCCTCCTTCCTGGGGAGGTGAAGCCAGGGGTGCTGGGTCTTCAGGGTGGAGGAGGCGCATGTCAGGGTCTAGGGTCTGGGACCTTTCCCAGGGCAGCAGCTGACTAGGGGAAGTCAGGAGGAAGGAAAGTCTGGAGAAGCCTCCCTCATCTTCACCATAGCTAGATCCTGGCTCCCATGGACCCCCAGTAGGAGAGGCCTCTCTGAGGCCCAAGGCATATCTGAGTGCCAGGTCCTGAGGAAGAACACTGGGATCAGAGGCACCTAGTGGAGCAGGGCTATTTTGCTTGTGCAGGACAGCAGGGACCTCAGACACTGGAAGTTGTTCTTCTGTGGCCTGGAGTCTCTTAAGAACCTGTGAATCTTTTGGAGTGGTGCAAGTCTTCTTGTCAACTCTTTGCTCGGGGTCACAGTCATCTTGCTTTTCACTTTGGTGGGCAGCAGTTTGGGGTGTACCTCTGCTCTGAGGCCTGCACACACCTCCATTTGCCTTGGAGTCCAGGAGTCTCTCCGCCAGCTGCAGAAGGAAATGGGCACTTGCTGGTCTGGGCATGAAGAGGGCGATCAGGGTAGGGGTGAGGGTATATGGACAAGAGACAGCCTGTGGAGGTTCACCCATCTTGGCTTCAGAGACAGAGCCTGAGGCCCTGGGACCAACCCACCGGACCTCCTTCCAGTTCAGCCTCAGCCCTCCTCACTCTCTGGTCTCTTCTCTTCCTGTCCCCATGTGCATTTCCCATCTGGGTACAGCCCCTCTCTAGAAGGCAGCAACACCCAGCTGGGTAGGGCTAGACAAAGTCACGTGAGCCTGGTGTACAGGGTCTCCTCCTCATCTTGGTGACCCAATGTCTTTCCCTCCCCTGTCTATCTGATGTTCTTCCTTTATAACCACTGTCCTGTCACTTCTCTCCCTCATCCCTTATGTTCCCCTCTTCTACTTGGTGCCCCTCTCTTCCTTGTCTGCATGATGCACCCCTGCCCCCATTGCCTTGTCATCCTCATGTCCCTGCCCTTGCCTTCCTGATGTCACTCTCTTGTTTACCTGGTATCCTTCATCCCCTGGCCTACCTGTTCAGAAGTGAGTCTGTGTTCTTCTAGCACTTGTAGTATGGTCAAGAGGATGTCTTTCTTTATATCTGTAGATTCTTCTTCTACCAGGAATTGAGGGTTGATGATGGCATCCACCTGGATCAGAAGAAGCCGCCATGAATGCCCTGGTAAGGTGCAACTCTAAGCCAAGAGGAAGCACATGAAAAGCAGGAAGCAATACCCAGCCCATTCTGGCTCACGTCGTGTGCTTGTTAATTATGTTTCCTAGGTATACTCACATCCTCAGACACATTCTCAAGAAGCAATGCAAACACACATGCCCAGAGGCACATACATTCAGACATGTGCAGAGAAAGGGAGGGGGGGGAGAGAGAGACAGAGAGACAGACAGAGACAGAGAGAGACAGAGACAGAGACTAAGTATTTAAGGAATCAGGTTAAATTCCAAAGGCTTGGGTACCTTGGTAAGGAAGTCTTTTTGGGAGCATAGCTCATCAAAGTAAGTCAACAGATCCAGGTCTGGGTATGTCTTATTCTCTTTCTGCTGCTGCTGTTCCTCCTTCTGGTTTTCATCAGGCTCCTGCGTGGTCAGGAGGTGATGTTCTTCCAGCCAGTCCATAGTGTCCATGTACTCGTTCACGGCTTCAGGAGGGATGTCATCCGGCACCTCGGTCTCCTGTGACTGCTGGCATTTGCGTGCTGGGGGGCAGGCAGTCTTGGAGTCTGTCTGCCCAGGATTGTACACTAGAATGGGGGAGGGAAGAGATACATGGATAGGGGATCCCACCAAACCCCAGTCCCAGTGCGGAGAGCAGGGTTCGGGGACTTAATATTATCTTAGACATTCTCAGAACCTGCGAGAGGAGACTGTGTGTGAGGTAGACCATGGAGGCAGTCACATGGGAGGCCACGTAGAGCTACTTAATGTGGGCTACTCCCATCCTGCCCCCAAGTTCTGGGCAGATAGTATGATTACTATCTGCCCAATACTGCCCTGTACTGCCAATCAATTCCCTGTTCAAGACCAAGGGGTGCAGAAATCCCAGGCTTTGGGGAATATTCTGTTTTCAAAAGCAAATATCCCAACCCAATTGTCAATCAAACATGTGTAACAATGGCTTCCCTCTAACCCCTTGACCTCTGCTGCAGTTCTCTGTGAAGAAGTGGGAAGATTTACCTGATTGCTGCACATCAGGGGACCCTGAAGGATCCAGCCTCAGTGGGACTGGAGATGGACAGTCATGAAGTCTCCCCTTCAACTGCAACCTAGGATCTTCCATCTCTTCAACAAACTCAAATCTCATGAACCTAGAATATGGGGGCGGGGGCGTAGGCTGAGCTAGGAGGAATGCCAAGGCCCAGGCTGTTGCAGCACCGGTTGGAGCCAATGGGGATGGGGAGCAATGCCCTTGGGTGGACTGGTCTAGTTGTAGAACAGTGCTGGCCCCAGGGCAGAACCACAGTTCTGAGCACATCCTCAATCACCCACAGGAAATCAAGTTAGCCCTCAGTGACCCACAGCACCCACCCATGAGCTCTTTCAAGTATGTCCTGGCCTTGTACAAAGCCAGAGTTTGGTCAGGAAGTAAGTTATGGCAGAGATCACCAGGAATTCCTGCCCCATCCAAGTATCCTGAGCTGGGACTGTTGAGTCCTAGAATGATGTGCTGGGAGACAAGGGCCCAGGAGAAAGTGGGAGAAGCACAGAAGATTAGGTTACTTTCCTCTGGCCTGTTTCTCTCTCTCTGTCTCTCTCTGTCTCTCTCTGTCTCTCTCTCCCTGTCTCTCTGTCTCTGTCTCTCTGTCTCTCTGTCTCTCTCTCTCTCTCTCTCTGTGTTTAGAACAGGTGCAGCAAAGCAATAATGGCAGGGATGTGTCCTGGGGATACATGAGAGGCTGTCTTCTCCTAACCATGCTCTCCCCTCTGCCACACCTTTGTGGGACCTCAGGTTATAATCTCATGGACAGAGATAGTCCTTCCCTTGTCAACAGGGGACCAGCACAAAGCTGGTAGCACTTGTGCACTTTATACAGCCCCCAGTTCCAGAAGAAATCCCCTGGATGATGAGACTAGAGTTTCTGCAACCACCAGACCAAGAACTCCCCAGCCCTCTATGTAGAAGCAGCAGCTTCCTGAAGCCCAAGGTGTCCTAGGTGGGGCCTGAGCCAGTGGACGCCCTGATGAAATTGTGTAGGCCACAAGCCCCATTGGACTCAGCTGTACAGCCCATACATGGGCTCTTGCAACTCAGGCCTGGGCCCAGGGTCCCTGACTTACTTTGCAGCCACGCTGTAGAATGCTTCACGCTCGTAGTTGTTCATGTTGTTCCATTCCCGCACACCTATGCGCAGGCTATCCTCCACACTCATGGCTGGGTGCTGGCAGGCCAAGGACTGAAGCACTGGCCTGTAATTGCTCAGGATCAGTTTCCATCCACTTCCTCACCCCCCATTCCTGGCTGACCCAGCACTGCACACCCCTGTGACCTCTGCCCTGGCACAACACTGTCCTGTTTGGTCTTGATAATCCTCAAGAATAACCTACCGGGCACTGCATGTTAACACCAATGCTGGTTTGGTGACTGTTATTTTCCTTTGTGTCCTCTTTGGTCACATTGTTGATTATGGAGGGGATATTCTTCACAATTCATGTGTTGAAGTACTGACCCCCAGTGTAACGGTATTTGGAGTTGGGTCTTTGGGTAATTAAGAGGGTCAGATGAGGTCAGTAAAGTGGGGTTGCCAGGATGGGATTAGTGTCTTTCTAGAAGGAGGAAGAGACCCCAAACTTTTTTCAGCCATGTAAGTGCCACAGTTGAGGTTGTCACCTTCTTAAGCCAAGGGAAAGTGTTCTCATTACTCAGAATCTGCCTTCAGCACTGTGAGAAATGATTGTGGATGGTTTCAACACACAAGTCTAGGGTATTCTGTCTGGCAGCCTGAACTGACAGAGCAAGGGCACACAAGTGACCATGGGACCTAGGAACAAAAACCTAGAGTACAGATTCAAATGGTAGTTGAGGAACAAAATGGTATTAGGGGCCTACATGTGACCCTATGTGACTAATGCATTTCCTTTGAGTTCCCTACAACAACCAGGGTAGGAACAAGTGTGAGTTTTTCCCCTCAGTTTCTACAACTCTTAGCCCCAACACTGGTTGGGCCATGAATCCACAGGTCTACAAGAGAATGAAAAAATAAGTAGGGGAGGTGAGTGTGACACATTGTGAGAAAACCAAACTCAACTGGTGGCTCATGTCACACCAGGTAGTTTCTCTGACATGAATCTTAGGCATCACGGTGATAACTATTGAAAAAGAACCACTGGCTGCATCAGAGAGCAGCCGTGGTCTCCTAAGATCAGGTGCTTTTCCTACCCTAGCATAACATATATATTTTTGACTCTGCTATATCCCCCTCAGCCAGTCCTGCAAGCTCCTCTATATCCTAAACTCCTGTCACCCCTCCTCCTTCACATCAGAGCTGCAGGGTGAGCTCCTGGTACCCTGGGAAGGCACTCACACAAGGAAGCAGGACACCACTTCCACATCAGGAGTGTAGGGAAGGTTTCTCCGGAGCAGGGTCTTGAGATGCTGCCAGTGCCGGAAGTTCTCATAGACACTTGGAGATGTGCAGGTGTCATCTGGTGAATCATTGGCCTGGGAGGTGGCCAGGCTGCCTTCCCCGCAGCCCAAGCATGGTTGTGGTGCCTTGTATGCCCAAGACATGGTGGAGGGCAATGGTGGTATGGCTGGGGGACAGAGGCCCAAAGGCCACAGCCTGTCATCAGAATGGCTGCTCACACCAGTTGGGGCAGGCACAAAGGTGGTGATGGGTGGAGCGCTTAACACTTGGAGAGTGGGATGCTTCACACCTCCATGCAGGCCCCTAGGGGTACTCCTAATGTGAGGGGCCTGAGTAAAGAGAACCTCGTGAGTCAGCAGGGACACTGCTGGCTTCCCTGCTGTCCCTGCTTGGGCAGTGATGTTAAAATCCTCAGCACTTTTCAAGCCACAGCCACCGCATCCTGCTGCCACAGGTATCCCAGGGAAAGGAGAAAGCACCATGGGCTTATGTTGTGGAAGTGGCACATTCCCAAAGGGTGATGGCAGAAGTTTCCGGTGCTGCTGCTGTCCTGGAACTGGAGCAGGTGGAAGAGGGGGCAGGACACCATCATTCAGGGTCATGTCTGGCTGCAGCCCTGGAGATGCTGTAGAGAGAAAGGAAAGGAGTGAATGGAGGATGGGATGGCTGGCAGGAGGGAGGCTCTCTTTCTCAGTCACTGGGAATCAGAGGACAAATCTCACTCCTTCAGGGATGAGATAAGAATATGTGGACAGGAATATTTTTCAGTTTGAAAACATCCCCAAGTAAATTTTCATGTTCTCTTCATCCCATTCAGAATTCTTCCAGCAAGGAACTTTCTTCTACATCATTAGGATTCCATGACCCCTGCTTGTCCAGAGAAGCACCTCAGCTTTCCCTCCCCCGAGCACAGTAGAGGTGAACCTATGACATGCACGCAACAGCTGTTTGTTATCACTGAAAGCTCTAAAAGGTTTGTAATCACTGCTAGGTGGATATTTCATTTTCCTGATGCTCCTTGTAAACTCCTGTCATTTGTGTCTTGCTGAGTCCAATATAACACAGACCTTGAATGAAATTTTTACCCAAAGTAACACGTGAGGAAACTTAAAGATGACCCCATCAGGGATCACATCCACCTCTCACAACAAACACTAATGCAGAGATCAATCCTGATCAATCCTGTCCAGAAGTTGTGTTCCCATGGGACAGATCTCAGGAAGATAGGCACTGTTGTAGGGAGTGACTGAAGTGAAAAATTGATCATGTGTGTGAGGGCAAGATAAGGGCAAAATGCCTAAAGCAATCAAGATACCTCAGTCCTGAGAAAAACATTTTGCCTGAGAGAATTCCAGCCATCAGTTGCTAGGCAACCCTGGTTGTTGTGATACTAACTTTGTCAAAAGTATAAATAAATGCTGTACAGTTCTTAGGAATTTCCTCTTCTCTCATCAAGAGAGAGGGCTGTATCTGACCTCAGCTTTTTTTTTTTTTTTTTTTTTTTTTTTTTTTTCTTCATCACCTTACTGTTTTTCCCCAGCACCATCAAGAGCTGCACAGGTCTCAACTTTGGGTTTCCTGAGCACCTGTTCTTGCAGAAACAGGAGTTTCTATCAAAAAGAGCCAGGTAATTGTGATTTGGGGGGTTGTTTCAGGAGTTTTAAAAGGATTTTCTCAATTACTGATCACCAGAATTGGTTGTGAGAGCTAGAACCTATCTACAGAAATTCCTTTGATGTCCTAATAATGGAAAGAAAAGGATTGCCTTGAGCCCATCCTTGTTCAGTAGGACCTCATGGAGACTCTGATCAAGGAGACCAAGGTCCATAACACCTGTACCTAATAACCAGCACACCTGTCCTGACAATAGTAATGTAACAGCAAAGGCTCTTTCTGTGAGCTACTCATTACCTTCTTCTTAACATGGAAATCACCTGTCACAGAACCTGCTATAGAAAACCACCACTTCATGTTCCCTGTGCATGAAGCACTAGACAGGAAGATGTACAGTGTTTCTTATTAACAGTGAAATTAAGGACTGAGAGTCCACCATTGATAGTGGAAAAGACTGAGAACCTCTAAAGACATGTTTTGATGAAAAAGATGACATTTTAGAACAAGTCAGGGAAACCCAAGTCCTAAGTTGGTTGTAGTTACCACACTGCCTGCCGTTGAAAGACAGCTGCAGCTTGAACTGAGGGAGGAGCCTTCTCTGAGTGCTTGGGGTCTCTGGGTTGTGGCCACTGAGTAGCCTCTAGCCTTGTTCACACAGTGGATATTTCATGGCACACTTGGGTCAGGGGAGTACTACTGAGCAGTTTCCTGTCTATGATCATTTCTCTCCACTGGCTGCTAAGATTCAGGGAACTCTAATCAAACTCATCAGACCAGTACAACACACAAGTCCCAGGTGCCTGATGAAAGCGCACAGGACTCAGGCTCTCCACTGGAAAATATGTATGTCTCTGCCATGATACCATCCCACCACTGTCTATCAAGCCTTTTGAAGTGACATCTTTCTGTGTTTAAAGAGGATCAAAGAATTTCTTTCCACCCTTTCACCTTGACCCAGTATATTTCCCCAGAGGTGCCTTGAAATGTAGCTAAGGAGTCCTTGCCCTTCCCTCCCTCCCAGAGGAGATGTCCTTGGTGAAGTCCAGTATGCTCTTTTCTTTACATCAGTTCAACCACCTATACCAAGGGAAGTGAAAAATTCAAATTCCCAACAGTGAGTTAAATAACACCAGGGAGTTAAATAACATGTCCTTGACCCTCCAAGCTTACCACTTTCTAAATCCATCTCCCAGTCTTGATGCTGACCACAGCTCTCTGACCACCATGAAAAGAGTGACCTGTTCAGAGGCTCGCTCAGGTCCAACTGCAGTGGGTAAGGTTTGAAAGTCAACAGGGCTGGAGCGTTGGGGTCCAGACGTTCTGTGTGGGGGAGGGGCTGAGGCAGTGGGGCGAGGAGGAGAGACGTGGGAGAGACAGTCCATGAAGAGCTCTGGCAGAAGAGAACCTCAAAATCCCTCGAATAATACAGTAAAATCATCACTGCCCTGTGACTGTAGCCAACTTTTAAGTTATTTCTCAGACACCCAGCTGTTTTATTGATGTCTTCTGACTTCAATTTCTCCTCAATAAAATTTGCTTAATTCCCTTCATCTCACCCTGTTGAAGAAGGCTCTCAACTAATCTCAAAATTCATTGTACTTTCTCCACAAAATTTAGACCATGTATTTAGGTAAATATGGGGAATGTTAGGCAAGGGATGAGACAAATAGTTTGAAATAAAATTCTGTCAGGGGATACAGGGTTGCTACACACACATCACTGCTTAGTGAGCAGTTCTTGTGTCTTCAATTGACCGCTGCCAGGACCTGTACCCTCAGCACGGTACCTTACTTAGGATCTCCTTCGCTAGAAAGTTCTTGTCCCTCAAACAATGACACAATGTAGCCCTACAGGATTCAACAAGGAATTCCCTTTTGTCAGAGTATTGTGTTTTTTGTGGCTTATTCTCTTTGTCACCTATTATCATGGCTTTTTTTTTTTTTAAATCTATTTAGTACAGGGTCTACAGGGTCTCACAACACAGATCAGATTCGTGGTGATCCTCCTGTTTTCAGCCTCCCAAACTCTGGGATTACAGCACACTGGGGAGGCGCTTTAGTCCATGGAGCTGACTGGAGGGCCCTGTCGGCTTTTTAAAAATAGGATTTTGATAGGTTTTTTTTTTTTCCACTAACCAATAATGTAAAAGTTATATTGTGGGAAAGCTATCTTTCCCAAAAGTCCTAGAGCCCAGATACAAATATAATCGAATTAGCCCAAATATCATCTGTGACCTTTGAAAGTCGTCTTTCCACTGTTGAGACGAAAATACACATAAGAGCCTAAGGACACAATATTCCTTTTGACTCACAGTTTTGTAAGTTTCTGTCTGTTTTGGCCGACTAAGGAGAAAAGGACGCACTAATTTTTGACAACATGAACAAA